GGAGCTCCATGGGCTGCAGGGCACAGCCTGCCTCACCATGGGCTTCACCAGGGGCTGCCGGGGAACCTCTGCTCTGGCACCTGGAGCACCTCCTGCCCCTCCTTCTGCACTGACCTTGGTGTCTGCAGAGCTGTTCCTCTCATTCTCACTCTTCTCGCTGGCTGCAGTTCCTGTTGCACACTTTTCCCCCTTCTTAAATCTCTTACCCCAGAGGTGCTACTACTGTCATTGATGGGCTTGGCTTTGGCCAGTGGCGGGGGGGTCTTTGTGGGAGGCGGGGGTGGGGCTGGCTGACATTGGCTGTATTGGACATAGAGGAAGCTTCTAGTAGCTTCTCACAGAAGCCACTCCCGTAGCCCCGCCAGTACCAAAACCTTGCCACACAAACCCAATACACTGTCCTATCAAGGTAAAGGGCTTTAGGGACACAAAAGGTATGCTTTTACTGCTAAGTAACTAATGTATGTTCACCATCACTCCGTACAAGTACAGCTGTAATAAGGTGTTAAGGCTCTGGTATGATACTATTTGAACCCAGCCAGGAGTGAGGCCTGCAGTGATTACCTTGTGTAGGTATCACACAGCAAACATGCAGTGCCTTGTGTTCACCTGAGACTTCAGAGCCAGGTAACTTTTACACGTGAGTTATGAAAGGCAAAAACACCTCTGAGACAGCAAAAACACAACCCAGACCTGTGTGAAACCATCAGCTGTGTTCTGAAAACACAGTGTTGTGCCTGCATGCTTGGTTTTGAGCCAGGATGAGCTGCTAATGTTACATTTGCTTCCCTGTAACTGCAAAACTGCACCCCGGCTTGACTGGAAGTACCTTACAGAGACTTTTAACAACCTTTACTTTTTGTGGGATGAAAAGATCTCCACCTCAACCTACAGAGATCACCTTCTGTGTTTCAACAGAGTGAAATGAAGTCAAAGTGATAAATGTGCAGCATGTTTGTTTATTTGTTTATTTTTATTTTTATATTAATATAGTTATTGATGCTGAAATTCCCCTTGCTGTGCAGTATGTCTGAGAGCTGCTTCAAGCAGAGGCAATAATATTTTGAAATATAACTCCGTGTCTGTGTGTTTATGTTTCCCAGAACTATGTTTCCCAGCTCACCCTGAAAAACATTATATTTTAAAACAGGACTCAATGGTGGGCTTCCCATTCCTAATGCTTTGGTTAGTGGAATCCTATGAGACTTCCCAGCCAGGTCTCCCTCTGAGTCACTGAAAGACCAGGATTGTGATCATCTCTCTGAGCAAAGAACCAAGTCAGAAGCACACCAGCAAAAGGCACAGGAGAGACAAGGCCTCTCTTCACTGGTCAATACTAACCTTTTCATTGCATTTTTAATTTGCACTCTTCACATCTCACAAGAAACATACTCGTCCGTTTTATTCTAGTAAAAGGACACGCAGAAAAGCAAAGCATTAAAAGAAAGAGGGAGACGTACAATAGCCATTCTTTGCATTCAGAGGGAGTTGTCTCAGATGAGGGAAGGGTGTTGATGGAGGGTATTTAAGTTGACATCTTCAGAGAATCGGGAGAACAACATCAGAAAGAAGTAGGGGGTTATAGGAAGGATTGGGAAATGCTTTGAAAGAGGAAAGCAAGATGTACTAATTAAGGTCCTGAATTAAAGTGAAAGGGGGAGGTGGGAGAAAAGATTCATCACCTACAATTTTCCTTTTTTTTTTTACCCATCCTCCACAAAGTGTCCTTAGGTATATCCTGCATTGTAATCCCTCCGGGTCATTTACAAAGGTATAGATCATCCAAATACAATCACCACTCATTTTCTTGTGCAATCAAGGAAAAACCCCTAGGCTTTGAGTTACAGGAAGCTCTGAAGTTGTGTAACCTCTACAAAATTATTTTGACATGTCACACCCTGCAAACAGGGCCTGGTGTCACTCCTTTGTCTTGTCCAGCTTTTCTCAGGATGGAAGCTGGGAGAAAGGCTGCAGGCCAGGTGAGCTGTACTGGTGGACGCAGCATCCCACTCCTCCATGTTTTCTTTCAACAGGGCTTGAGACCTGCCTTCCACTGCAAAAGGGTCAGGGATGGCCAGAGCACAGTGCTCCCTCTCCCAGAGCAATCGGTCCATATCTTACACCTTACTTAACAGTGTAGCTATGTAATGAGAAAAGCAGCTCTCCCCGCTCGTTGGAAGAGGTATGACCCAGTCAACCAAATAAACTGAATAAGTGCAAGAGCTTGAATCACATCTCCTACATCCTGGGATCAGCAGTCACTGGGATTCATGCAGTCCTCACAGAGTGGGGCTCTGCAGCCCCTGCAGCAGCTCGGAAGAGATAACCACCTTCGTCTTTTTGGCCTTAATCTGCTACTATCTTCACAAATCTCTGGCACACAAGATTTTTCTCCTCTTTCCCAAGCTGTGACAATTTATAAGCAGAGTTCCATGCAAAATCTGTGTTACCAACCTCTCAGTCTGTTTTTGTCCTTAGGAATTAACTTCTGACATAGGCTCAGGCTCTACAGTTTGAAGTTGAAAGCCAAGTGTTTACTTTTAAACTTGGAACCAGACTTTTGGAGATCTTAGGTACCTAAAGATTTAGAGAGATGTTTTAATCTATTAAAAAAAAAAACAAACTCTAGAAATAATGGCTGAAATAAAGTCTTACGTTATATTCTCAAAACTAAAGTCTCAGGCACACTACGGTTTCCTTCACCTCTGCGCTATCATGGGTCATCACACAGCAGAAGCATGAGACAGTGACATGAGGGAAGGAAAAAAATGCAAGCTATTCGGGAAACACCCTAACAAAGAGTTGTACTTAATTAGATGTAGGCCATAGTGGTGGCAAGGTGTGTCTTGTTTAATAAACCTGTGAGGCTTCTGCATTTGTCCAAGTGGGATGAGAAGACAAAATAACAGCGAAGCATCAGTGGCATGGTTTGAAGCATACAGCCCCGTTAATACTGAAGCAGGACAGGGAACAGAAACAACTTCAGCATTACCTGCAAGCAGAAGGGGTAGTAATTTCTATCTATCTCATGTTTGGCCACAAGGATAGAATAGTGAAAGTAGTGTGCTTTCAGCTTCAGAAGAACACATGGTTTGTATTTTAATTAAATTGGCTGCCGGTAGGATATTGCTTATGGGACTCACTTGTAATAATAATAAAAAAAAAC